TTACCATTGGTTATTGAAATTTCTTCATATTTATCCTGAAGATAACTTAGTTTGTGGTACACAAATAAATTATATAAATACATTCGATGATATTTTTGAATCTATATCAACTCCCGAAGAGCAACAAATGATGATTTTATGTTAGAAACTTTTATATTGAGGGGGAGCAACATATAATTATGAATGAAACTAAACAGGTTTTCCCTTCAAGGGGAGCGATAAATAAATCTCGAAGATCGAACTCGGAAGGTTAATTATAATCCTGAAGATTAGGCCCTGTTGGCCGGTGTTGTACTCTTTTTCCCTTGACTAAGTTTTTTTTCCCATTGGGTTTTACTTAGTAAGGTTTTTAACGAGGCAACAAGTGTAACAAATAAATTTGCATGTGTCATGTACTCTTTTCCTCGACTATTTTTTCCCACTGGGTTTTGTAGCGTGGTTTTTAACGAGGCATGGACATGATGCGGTAATGTCCAAGGGGGAGTGTTGTAAATATTAAGTTGTGGACATTACCTAGATATAGGATTTGTAGGCATGGGCCAGGAGCCCATTAGGTATTTACTCATGTACATTATATTCCCTTATATATAGGGCTCAAGTGAATGAATAAGAAGAGGGTTTTTGACGGCGTATCTCTTCTCTCTTATTCTCTTCTTCTTCTACTGTTTCTATCTTTGTCTATTTTACACATAGATTTTACATATTGTCAATCTATATTACAACATTTGTAATTTTATTGAAAAAATCTTCGAAAGTCTTCCAATTTAAAAAGTCTTATAAATTATTTCTATTTTGAATAACGGGTGACTTATTGTCGCTCTTAGAAAGTTTCAATTGAATATACTTAGACTTCTAGAGATTTATAAAAAGTCTTTAAAAGTCATGTACTTTTTAGAAGTATAAAAAAAATTCAAATTAATACAACAAAATACAAAATTTTGAAAGTCTTAAAAAGTCCTATTTGAATACGCCCTCCTTTGTTTGGGATATCTTCTTAATGATATTATCGATATGTATCGAAGA